GATCAATCCATTGGTATGTAGCCGTCCTGTTTTGGCTAACTGGGATAAATGAAACGATGGGTTAACAAGGACACCAGGGGCTCATTTTTTTTGTTTTAGGGAAACAAAGAACCCAAAGTTAGTTGTTTGGGCTTTGCCTTTTGTTTTTCAAAAAACGAAGCAGATCCATGTGTCTTCATTAACTTATTGTACTCATTTACATAACTGGCACCCACATACGTGAAACAAAGAAGTGAGAGTACCTGGTGTACTCGCCCTCATATCCATTTACTGTCAATGTATACACAGTACATTAATGAAGCATCATTGAACTGGGCTGATAACAGGGGCACACCTAGCAGGTGGACTATGTATTCTCCATGAACAGTATTTAAAGAATGGTGCTCCATATTGCTTGTAAACATATAGACATGGATCAGGAAATGGTGGATTCGAAGGTCATTTGCTAATCTGGATACCACAGAGCTAAAATGGCAATTGTATTGGTAAACATCTCATGAGCATGGTCGTTGACAGAAAATTCCCTAATGGGGTTAACTAACAGACTAAGGACATGCATTGATTACAGGACTCGTCCTGAAGGACGCCAGGCCCCAGCGTTCTAATCATCTTCCTCGTCTTCCTCATCGCTGTCCTTCATGCTGATGCCCTGCAGGCCCCCACCCTCGCTCACTGACGCTGTGGCTTCCTCCACAGTAAGACGGTTCCGGATGGTTTCATATGTCTTGCTGTTCAAGGTCGAGTCCAGGACCCCTTGCAATCTGAAATCCCTATAGGTTTTCTAAGGAGGGAAAAGATTCAGCGGTGAGAGAGACTGCATCTCCATGCAGGGGAGGGAAAGGACAAAAAGCAAGGGTGGGTGTGTGAGAACATCGGCCTTCAGCTAAGTGTCACACTTTAAGCATGGTCAAATGAAAAGCCACCGCACTTAGATTTCACTTGTACTGAAAACTGAGATTTGTTGAATGACAGAAAATGAGAAATTGTGACAGGATAAACTGTATTAGATGAGACAAAGCAAAGAACATAAGCTTGTGTTTATTCAGTTCCATCAAGGGAAATGTTCCATAATTGTTTTGGTTCCTTTTCTTTTTTTTTTTTGGTCTGGCTCTTTCTCTTAGGTTATTATACTATAATATGATAGACAGTGGAAGGGGCTATAACATATAAATAATGGATCAAGTGATTATGGTATTTTGCGATTTCTGTTGCAGTCTGGTCTTTAGTATTTTTGAGGCGTGTAACTGCATATTCCTCTGTCTCACTCAAAAGACAGACATATGTATGTTGGTATATGAAACCTATTAGGCGCAGCAACAATTACGGGGAAGAGGCACCGCTAATGCCTCATCAATATGTTGCAGGCGTGTGACTCATTTCTCATCTCTTTGGGCGAGAAGTGTATCTATTCTGTTCACAACTTCATGGTCTCAGGGAAGAAATTTGGCTCTTTTTCAAGAACAATGGTTTGGTACCACTGTACTACAGATTCTTTCTTTGTTCCTTCAGGCGGTTTCTCTCGGATTTCCTTAGGTATCCCACGGACTGTTTTTCTAGAAATCCCTTAGCGTTAATTGAACATGACCAGAAGCATCTGGCTGTTGTCTACTTCATAAAAAATTTTATTGAGAAAGGTCTCCCTCTGACTACAACTCTTCTCATCACACTGCATATCATTTCAGCTACTGAGTCTGCTGTTTGTTTCTCCTGTTGAGCCGGGAAACTCGCTACGGGGGCAAGAGAAGGAATGTTCAGGACTGCAACGCCACCGCTTCGCGATTTCTATTTTTTGTCGTCCATCTAATGCAGTCATGGGGTCACCACTCACAATGTCAATCCCTTGTGAAGGGTATATGTTGTCATGACTGCAGAGTTAACTAGTGAATGTAGTTCGGCTCAGTGAAGTCTAACAATATAAGATTATTGATAGGATGACTACATGTCCCCTTTGCCAGTTTATACCTGTGGTCCCAGCATGAATTTTCATAGCATCTTCTTGCCCTTTTAAAAACAATCTGGTTTGGACACTAAATTAAATGGTCATCCGAATTATGGATCAAGATGCAAGGCTCTCCTAGGAGGCTCTCCTAGGGAGCTAGGTAAGTGCCTGAACGGTGTCTTCACCTTGAGGGGGAAGGGAGGGGCTGAGTAAATGTTAGGTAGGGTGTCTGACAGATATCCAGGTAATTAACTTGCTTTATTTTGTACTTTTCAACCAGTTCTGCTGCCACTCAGCATACCGTAATTGTTGCAAGAATATCATGGGAAAAAAGAAAGGTAGAAAGCAACTGAGTATCCTCCCCTTTATTTCAGAGCAGGGTGCTCCCCAACTAGGCTCTAAATGCCTACAGGCAGGGACCATTACTAGTAGTTTTTAATTCTCCATCTTGTAATATACAAGTAGGGGCTCAAGTAATATTTGTCCCATGTTGGATGGATGAATAAATGCTTGCTGAATAGTGAATGAATGGATGAATAAATGGAGTGGATGTAAAAGCAGGAAAGAGAGCCAATTATCTTTGGAAGTTTGCCTTGGAGAAGGAGACTCTAGATAATGTACTTTGTAAAGAGGTGGTGAATTTTGCTTCGTCCCACCGTGCTGCGGCACTAGTTAAACTGGGCCCACTTTGGGCAAAAGTGAAGGTGTTCTTTTGACGTTTGTGTCCCTCCCCTGTGGTTCCTGTCTGTCTCTCTCTCTNACCGAGGAAACTGGAGGGGTAGATGAAGATGAGATTGCATATGGCTGTTATACCTCCTTAGTAACCTTGAGCTTTGTTCTAAGAACAAGGGGAGCCATTGGAGGCTTTTAACTGGAGGAGGGAAGATCACACCTTCTTTTAGAATGGGCCTGATGAATGAGAGAAGATGGATTCGAGAGAGCCTGGGTGTTTCTAGCAGCGCCTGATCAGTATGTGCTCAACTATTGTGGACCGACTGTTAATACAACAAATGCTTTTCCATCAGTTTAACATTTCGCTCAGCGTCTCTATGCCTCACCATCCATCTGGTACTTTCTCCAATGGCCTCTCCCCTACCCGTCCTCAAATTGCTCTATAATTTTCCTCTTTTAAGAAAAGGGGAAAGAAACCTGCGTTTCACAAGAGAAACTACCTGAATTGCCAATCCATATGTTAAAAGGCAATCAACTCCATTTTTGTAATCAGTGAACTACAACTATAAACCACTGCACCACTTACCAGAATGATACAAATTAAAAAGAGTGGCAATACCTAGTGTTATTGGGGATTTTGATACTCTGCTGGTGAGAGTATAACTTTGCTCCTCCTCTATGGAAAACTGGCAGTGTCTCCTAGAAATGAATATACTTTTCTTTACCCTATCACCCAGCAATTGCATCAAAAGACATGTACAAGGAAATTCATGACAGCATTAATCATAATAGCCCAAAAGTAAAAAAAAAATAAATTTTAACACGGACCAATAAAATGTGGTATAGTCATACATTGGAATACTATAAAATGGTGAAAAAAAAAGAACGACAGCTATACCATCATTCTAATGTAGAGCGAAAAGAAGCCAGACACGAAAGAACATATACTGTGATTCTAATTACATAGGGTTTAAATTCAATTGATGCTATTAAAATGTCAGGATGGTGGTTACCTCTGGCAAGTAAAGAGTGGGTAGAGATTGGGAAGGGGCCTGGGCATGGGCACGTCTGGGGGTGTTCATTACGCTCTACTGCTTGACCTGGTGGTTGTTTCATGAGTGTGTTCTCTTTGTGATAAATCACTGAACTGTACATTCTTCTATATGTATGTTGTCTTTTAATTTAAAAAAAGGGGGGGTGAGAAGAATAGAAAACTTAAGATTCTGTCCCAAAATAATAAAAAATAAAGGTCAAGATACCAAAACTGATGCCTTCCCAGCTTTGAGACTGTGGCAAGGATAACCTGAGACTGGAGCTTGGTCAGTTCTTTCTCCCTGATCTCTTTTGAGGTCACTTCCCCACAGCCCTCCTTCCAGGGTAGCAAACTGGGGATGACCCTCAATGCCAGGCTGCAGTGAAGTCAACTTGTGAAGGACTTTTTTATAAACCTTGGTTTTGGAGACAATCTTTTCTGACTTGCTTCTCTGTCTGCCTTTTGGATCATGTCTTTGGTTAGCTATCTAACTCACTCCAGTAGGCTCTTTTCCAGAGTTCCTGAGACTTCTCCCCCCAACCCCCAGCTTTTCCAACTCTTACACACTGGGCAGATGCTCCTTCTTTACTTTGCACATTTTTGAACTGTTTGTAATTATTGCAGGAAATATGCTTTAGTTTTGCACCTCAGAACATAATTAATACAAATATATTTTTTAAAACTCTGGCTTGCCACACTGACTTAACTATGTGCCATTGGGTAAAGATTTTTCACACCTGAATGATTTAGCTCTACCATTTGTATTACCAGTTCGGTGCTACGATTTCTGGATTAATGTTTTTACATGGAGTTGTCTAGCAGTTGGACAAGTTACCTTAACCTTTCAGACTTCAATTTTCTTGTCTATAACGAGGATAATAACAGTCCTCTCCTCTTAAGGTTGTTGTGAAATTTAAATGAGGTAATACATGTAGGATGTCTGGCATAGAATAGCTGCTCAATAAATGGGAGTTATTCTTATAATCCCACTAAGGGCAGGAAGTACTGGTGATTTGTTCCTGCAGACCTCAAGGATTAAACACGAATGGGACATGCTATTTAGAGGAGCTGATTTGTAGAGAGCAACTGGTGAACATTCTACTTGGTGCTATTGGAAAAGCAGTCATTTCTCTAAAACCTCAGTCAGCCTCCAGGAAAGATCAGCCTGATTTAGTGACAGACACAGTAAAATGGATTAGGCCACCAAATGTTTGATTTTTTTCAAGCCTAGGTGGCTATAGTGCTGTCAAGGACTGGGGAAGGAGAAGAGTGCTCCGTATCTTAGAGAATCTTGTAAAATGCTTTAACAAATATATAAGAATCATATATAATTGGCACACGCTTTGTTTGAATGCAAACACTGCTGTTAAAGTGGTGCTTAAAAACAGTTTGTTGGCCTTCTCTTCGTACAGGAGAAACATTCCTCTCGTTTACACTACTCTCTTGCTTAGCAAACCCTTATTTATCCTATAATGCAGTGTAATCTGCCCAACATGTCCAAATGCCCACAGATTCTGCATTAGTGGAGTCTGAATTCACGAAATGTGGGGCTCTCTCTTGTTAAGACAAGCATCAGAAAACTACTCTAACAGTTCCAAGAACATGCTAAGAAAATTACTTCTCCCCTCCTCTTTCCNGGAAGGAATCCTAATTTCAGAGAGATGTTAAAAGTGAAAAAGAGTTTTGTCTTACATTCAATGAAATATAAGCATTGATTTGACTGAAACTTGTAAAAGAAATGGATCAGGGGTGGTTTTCCTTGCGATCAATGCAGGAAGTAACCCATTTCCATGATTCAGAGATCATTAACCTACGTTAATCTCCAGAATTATTCTATTAGAACTATTCTGAATTTGGGAGAGAAAGTCATCTCCTCATCCTGCCAAAGATCATTTCATAGGACTTCAGCTTTCAATATCACAAAACTAGAGGTGGTCATTTAGTTAGAGTGTTCGCTAAAGAGTTCAACTTTCCAAATACATTGCAGTATCAATATTCTCCAAATGCTCTGGAATTTATAGTCTATAATCTTGATCTTTGATTTTTTTCGAAGGGTATTTTTTATTCAGAATGAAAGTAATTGCACCAAAAAATACTGTGGAGGAGTTTATTGTGCTCAAAAACCTCTGTTGCAGGA